GTATTGTACGTGATAAGAACTGTCGGTTAGGACGTACTATACATGATTAGCAAGCAAAACACGTACCAGCTCCAGCATTGTTAGATGACGATGCAGATGGGAGAGCGTGTGTCGTTGTCTTGGCCTTCTTCTGTCTCACCTCCTCTGTAATCCCATGCACGTTAGAATAAGACAGCGTTATGAAATAACGAGAATCGAGTTACCGAGAGCTAGCCTGTCCAGATACTTCAGCAGTTCCTCGTCACCTACGAAGTAGTCCACGCCCCTCACGTCTGCCTTGGTCTTGCCGGGGCGAAGGTACGTATAGTCGGTCTCCAGCCCCCTTGGCCTGCTGGATTTCCACCCCTCCTTCAGTAGCTGCGACCACACTGCTCTAAATGCTGCAGCCATCTCCCCCCTCCGCACCAAATTCTGGAATGCCAACAAACGAGTGGCTTACGCGTGACCTCTCATACCTTATGGCGGGAACTGGCACTCTTCCAAACACTTTGTCAATTGATATTTAGAAAATTAAAATGGCACACGTCTATGACGCAGACGTTGACAGGTTTTTGCACGCTAGTTCGTGTCAGCCTTCACGACACCTTCCCCTAGTTGACAGAAGATTTGTATATTTCAATAATAAGAATAAGTCTATTTCCTTATCGTGTCTAATACAGGATAAACTTTTTGTGCAATCGTGTCTAATACAGGCCTTCGCGCTCGGGGGGTTAAGCTTGTATCCACTGGATGGGTAATTTAGCTTGTTAGCCAACTCCATCGACCGAATTTCCGAGATGATCTTCTTACGAATATCACCACGACTGTTAATAGCAACCGGTGAGCTGAGCACGTAAGTGTTCGCCAGATTTGGATGGAAGTAGCGAGTTTCTTCATCGTCGGCTAAGCTTACAAAGTCGTAGCCGAGCGCAATATTCACCTTAAAAGCGCTCTTTTGACTGGCAAGTACATTCTCGAGCTTATCGTAAAACTCAGATGCCTGGATGTCTTCATATAAATGAGATTCCATATTCTTGCCGCTATAGAAGCGGTACTTAGAATCAGTCTTGTAGTCAGTAGTTATGTGCTTATTAAGGGTTTCGATTGAAACCTTTTATTGCTTGGCTACAAGCTTCTGGTTGGCAGGGCGAGAAAGGTTGCTGACATACATCAACTTCCCAGTTCTACCACGGAACTTAACACGGTAGGTGCTCCCCCATTTAATAGTTTGAATATTTAGCACTTTAGACCTTCAAGCTCGTATGCAAACATATTGCCTATATATCGCTTTCTATATTATTCGTATAAGTTTGACTTTATAATTATTGGATCTTGTATAAGGATCGACTTTATCATACCCACATACAATTTTTTTTAAATTAATTATTAAAAAAAAATATTTGACTTATGCCTTGTCGCTGGTTTTGACTTATTATTATCATTTTAGTTTTCTGCATCAAATGAATAAATTTTCTTAATTATTATTTTTTAAAATTAAAATACATGTTCTATAGTACTTGGTTGGTGTTGTGGTCACCTGCTACAATCAGAACCAGCTGCATACATCGTCTAAAAGACAACGATAGAAATGCTGTTGCAGCTAACGTGTTTCCTATTTCTCTTCACACTTGACATCAATGATAGATTAGGGATTCAGATTGCCCAAGGATGCCTCGACAGCAGCAAGCTGTAACGAATTATGCTATCTTGATGTCATTATTGGGAGATAACAGATAAGCATGAAGAGAGCTGTGATAGTGCAAGCAATGTTATTTCTGACGTCCAGCAGTTCGAGCAGCAACTTCAATCTTGCTTTTGCTTGGATGATATTCCATAAAATAAAATTTGATTCACTTTAAAACTTATAGTTTCGGTAAGAGCACCCAATAACCCGTTTTTTAATTGCAAATTATTGATTTTACTAATAATGATTTTTTTTTATCCGGTCCAAGATTTACCCCCTGTATATCTGCATCTCCGACGATGCGTAAGATTTTCCACCGAGCAAGCGCAGGAATTCCAGCCAGTGTGTGTACAGTATTGGGCATGACAGGATTTCCAGCCGACAATCTCTCAGCCATCTACTTAGATCGCGGGGGTCGACATTTGAGCTAGCCCTGCTCTTCATAACTACACTAGCAATTAGAGTTGAAAAGTGAAATGTGTCTTATTATATAATGATCAATAAGCTTCAACGACGTTATTGACCCCGCCGACGCCTGTCGTGTTTTCACCGCAGTAACTGCTGAGTACAGATGTTTACGTGATAGCTCCAGCTGAACGTTAATAATGTAAGTTCTTGTGTCTTTTAGTAGGATACATTGCAGTACTGTAACTGCGGTAAATTTTAGTATTGGTCGTGGTTGTGTTGCTGTTATTATAACTGTGTTGGAAGGCAATTCAGAATTGTACTATATTGGAGGAGGTACGCTCCAGCCGCTCGCCTAACTCGTAGCCTACATATTGAGATGGTTATGTCCTGTTCAAAATGTCTGGGATTGTCCGCACCCTTGCATCATAAAATTCCTTGTGCATGCTGCAGACTATACTGATGGCGCGGCAAAATCGTTGTGAAAGAGAGTTAAAAAAAAACGGTATCGGTACTAGCAAAACAACTGGTGCTGGTGTTCCGCTTGCTGTGTGTGTTCCTGCTTCTAATTGTCTGTTTTAAATTACCTAGCAGACTGCATTGGCATACTGTACTGGCATATTGTAAAGACACACAGTACTCGCATCGCATAACATCGATACTCAGTGGCAGAACAGAGATACAGTCGAACTGTAGCAGGCAAACGCGCTGATGCACTGTATTCATGGATGTTGTACGGATGTTAGTCCAGGTTACGCTCACGCAGTACCATGGAATTAATCCGATTGGGGTTGTCCATTCCTCATCCTTCTGGATTCCCAGTAAAATTGGCTTAGAAATGGACGGGCACATCATTTCATGGCGATACGTACCACGGATTTCTACTGTTCTCTGGATATTTATATCCAGAGTCTTAGGTGGGTTCGAGACCCCTCGAAGATCCTATATAAACAAATATTTTTCTGCTTGTGTAATCACTCAAATTTTACTTTCTTACAGAGGGTAAGATTAACCGACGGGATATTTG